AAATAACATTTTGCTGCTGTCAGTGGGGATTAATAAAAAATCGATGGGCAATAGGCTCAGACACCAAATATGATATAAAAAAAGTTTTGACCCGGCAACGCAATATTATAAAAAATCATAGTTGCAAACAAGATATGCGGTCATAAAATAACTGAGCCTCGTTTACACAATTTATTTTACATAAAATGCGTTCAATTTTGTTTAACTTATCGGTAATTAAACTTTAAAAGTCAGAGTATTTTCTACTTGGCTTATAGGAAAAATGTAATAAATAAATTAAAATGGCTGTAAGCTGATCTTTAATGAAACGATTTGTGAAACTCCCGTTGGCTTTAGTAAACAAATATTACTTGAGTGTAAGCACTTTTAAAAGTGTATTCAAAATATAAACATAACAATTTTAGAATTTAATTATTTATGCTTTTAAATTCGTATAGGTATTTTTAGGTAATATTTTAAAGAGTCTTTCAAGTCGCCTCAAAAATATCGTTCATTAAAAGAACGTTCTATACTTTTTTTTTGGTTTTATTAACTTGCACGTTTGAACTTATACGAAAGTTTTGCCTTCAATATATTCAGCTGTCGATTCTTTGCTGTTTTGGTTGGTTCTTTATATTTTTTGTGTGTGTGTCGTTGACGATGGCGGCACCCAAAGCGCTCATAAATCAAAAAAAGCTGTTGTTTGCTCACAGGCTGCAAAAGCCACCCCCCTGCTCCCCCCTGCCAGCATCCTTTTTGTTGTGCGTTTGTGTGATGTGTGTATAAATCACAAAGCATGTCCTTTGCCAATACAAACACAATTGAGCATGCATATGCAACGGCAGCCGGAGAAAGAGGACGCGATGGCGAGAAGGACAGAGCAAAAAGTGGTCAAAGAAATTGCGTTAAAAAATTTGATTAAAAAGTTTGTCGCCGCCGATGGGTGTTGCTGTGTGTGTTTCTGTGTGTGTGCCAGTCAGTCTGTGTGTGTAACTGTCACAGACATACACTCGGTGCCGACCAATGTGCTTATCGATTCGCGGCCATTGCCATTCCAACCACCACAACCCCCGACCCTCTTGGTCGTGTTATAAATCTCTCAAAAGCCAAACAAACCGGGCAAGAATTCAATTTTACAAACTGACAACTAAGACAAGGCACAGACCGTAAGGAAAACTCGACAACTAAGTTGGTGATAAATTAAGGTGGTATTGCACCTTTAAGGATATGCTTCAGAACTCAAACATTTTTAATTAATTGTAAATTGTAGCAAAAAAATTGATTTGAATTAAAATATTAATTTTTGTGTCTGAAACTACAACAAATAATAAGAAATTTTTTCTGGAAACTAATTCTTATTTTGAAAACAAAATGCTTATATATACATCTTTAAAAAATATTTATATTTATTTATTATATTTAAATAAATATTTATTTCTTAAATCAAATAAATTTATTTTTACTTATGTACATAAAATAAGCCAATCTAAAATATGCTCATTGTACTTATTGTTATTTAATTAAGGACTTGGATGGTTTATTAAAAGTGTAATACTGTCCTTCCAGTTTTATAAAAAAAGCGCCCATAATTAGTCAGGAGACGTGAGTCAAAAAGCTTGTCAGTTGCAAATGTTTATTTTGTGTTTTCTGTGGCCCACTAATTGGGATGGAAACATTGGAAAAACTTTCACCAAAACTCACACACCCTCTCACAACCTGAGCTGCACCGTTTCACACCTGTCGTATGCGCAATTAAAAGTTTGCTTTCACTTCGACGTTCCTTGGTTTCCTTTTTATTTGGCCCTGCTGTCGAAAATGTAATTGTCATTTTATAGGAAACGTTGAATGTTAGCCACGATCTGTCCTTGCTCTCATTTACGTGCCAGTGTGTGTGTAAGTGTTCTTTTCAGTTGCTCTAATGAAATTAGCATTGTTAGAAGGGATAAAAAGGGAAGTGGAGGAAAACTAACAGTTTTCGTATCCATTGCAACAAGTTCAAGGTTCTGCCTTCCCACACACACACGAAATTGTGGCAAATGCGGCGCTAACAAGCATTTTCCTACTCATATCCACAAAGGAAATAGGTTTTCCGTTGCATTTGTTACAAAAAAGCGCACACACTGGGCCAAAAAAAAAGGCGGAGAGGCAATGGGAAAAGCAAACTGAAGGCAGACAAAAAATGGCTTTGTGTTGCAAAAGTTCCAAAAACCAAAGCTTAGGCTGCCAAATGTGGAAAGAAAATCACGTCGCAGCCTTGCAAGTTGCAACAGCCACAAAGTGCCACAAAAAATGCGTAACAATGCATTGCAACGGCACCCAACTTAAATGTCAGCCTAAAAGTATGCATGGCCAAATAACAGTCGCCTTATTGGTGAAAAGGAGAAAAAGTCAGACTCTTAGCTTTGCGGCTGGCTTTTACCATCAGCTTCGGTTTAGCCCAGAAAAGGTGCTTGGTAAACTTTTAAGCCTGACTTTGTGTGAGGCCAGGGTCACAGGGAAAAAAAGGAAATACATATATGGCATGGAGAGTGCGAAAATTTGTCATAAACTTTTAAACGCAGTTGAAGGTGAAAGGAAACCATAATTAATGTCACCTTGAGTTTAAATAAATTAATATTAGCTCAAGAATAGATAAATGTTATGTGATTACAGGGACTTAATTAATATTTTAAAGGGCTTACTTAAAGTAGTCATTGTTATAAGATATTGTAATAATCAGACCTTTATTGTTTGTTTGCCTTAAATCATTAAAGTTATAATGCAGTATGCAATTTGAGAAAATTATGAACTCAGTACTATATTAACGCATTAACCCACATAATTTGAAACAAGAAACTTATATATTAGAACTTAATTTTACATCAATAGGGTTTTTAAACAACCAATTTTATAAATTTGGTTACGGTATGATTTTTAAATTCTCCTATCTGGTCAGTTGGGATTAAAACAGTGGCCTAGTATAACGAGTTTTCCAGTTGTACTATTGGCTCTTTTTATCTATTCCTGACTGAGGCTCCATGATACGTACATAAATGAGAATCCGTCAACGTGTGACACACATTCGCATCTACTCGCGCATAGGTGAAAGCTTTCCCTTCGTTTTGGCTTGTGTGCGTGAGTTGAGGAGTGTTGTAATTGAAATCGCATCGAGACGTGAAATGAAACGTAAAGTCATCGAATCAATTGAAATGAAAATTAAATTAAATGCATGCGCTCATACATTTATTCATATGCCTCAGACGCAGACGCACACAACGGAACAAGCACTCACACACCGACACGAACTCGAATCTTAATTAAACACGGATACGCATATTGAGTTCCTTGAAAGGCAAAAGCAATCGCCTGACTTCTCTGTCTGTGTGAGAGCGAATATGGAGGAGAAAGCAGTAAAGTTTCGGAGAAAGGGGCTGAGGGCAGCGAATGCTTTGCTTTTACGATTTTGCCTTTCAGCTGAAAACATTTTTTCGTTCGTATATGAACAAAGTATATCCAACTTATTCATAAAATGTGAAAATGTGTCAGGCGGCAACTGATTTCAATATTTTCTTGCTTATAGACAAAAGGATATTAATTAAAAATTTCAACACAGTCGTATAAATCATTTAACCATTTTAACTAAATAATGTTATTTAGTTCTTTGATCATAATATATATGATCATAATGAAACCTAAATCAGAAATGATTAAAATTTTTATTTATAATAATTTTATTTAGAATGTAACTTTAAACATGATTTTTTAAAATTGTTAAATGTCTAAAAAAAAAGATTTCTTTGGAAACTTTGGTCGCCTGCGCCGTATCATTACATTGAGAATACGTATAAAGGCTTAATGACTCCTTGGCATGCTTTTCCACACACGTATGCATACAAACTTTTCCACACACTTGAAGCGCCATGAAAACTTTCCCGGCACTGGCCAAGGCCAACTTTGTTCGGCTTTTTTAAGCCTTAATTCATTTTAAAATTCTACTGATTCGATTAATTTTAATTTTATTAACCTGCACCCTGACCGCGTTTTTATGTGTGCTTTGCCGATATATGTATACGCTCTCGTTTGTGTATGCGTTTGATTTATGAAATGTTTTCCCAGCAAATGATTGATTGATTGATTGATCGATGGGCGAAAGAGTGACTGAGTGCATGTCTTTGATGTGTGGCAAAGAATATATTTCGGTTTTGGGACGAAAGCAACGATAACAGATGCTAATTGAGCGTGAAGTTTTCCCAGCTTTACGGCCCCACAAATTCATGCAAGCAAAGGCGAAAATGAACATGAAATGTGTCAAGCCAGCAAAGAAAAACCGCAGCCACGCAAAACTCAAATGAATTTTATTAAATTGAAATGATTTTCGGAGTGTGTATAGATGTTTCTGGGTTTCTTTGTTGTGTGCGACGTATTTATTTAGGCAAATGATTGCAAAGAGCTGTAAATTAAATTTCAGTGGTTGAAGGAATGCTTTTAAGGCTTTCCCATTGCCAACTTCAATAAATCCAAAGAAATCTAATAAGGCCGCCTGGCCATCGCCAAATCGAATATAAGCTCATCCAATCGTCGCAAAAATGTATACCATATGCACAGGATGTTCATGTTGTCCTCGAGTCCTTCACCAGGTAATAAAATTACAGCGGCAATCGAATTCTCCATCAGTCCACTCCACAAATATGTGGAATACAACAAAAAAATACAGTTTTCTACATATATGCAATCCACACGATGCATAATTGTACCAAAACAGAAAAGCAAATCACTTGCGCCAAACCAAATGCAAAAGAAAGTGGAGCTAATGGTATAATTTAATACCCCGAAATAAATACAAATATTTACGGAAGGAATACAAAATGCAAGTTGATTTTCGATTTGATAAAAAAAAGAATAACTTATTTGAATACTTATACTATATTTCTAAACTCTTTCAATTATTTTGTGTATTTGTTAATTGTTAATTTAATAACCTTAGTATTTGGGTCATCATTGCCTTGAAAGGCTTTAAGATTTCATGTTGTATTTTAATGAAACAAATGGGCTTTTCTATATATTTTATAAAAACTTTTGACACTTGCTCCACACAAACCCGGTTTTTTAAGCAAGCACTAAGTAAATTTGTTATTATAATGTACGCTTGGTGAGTAAGTCAACGATATAAGCGGAACTAACTTTTCAAAAGCGTACCATATCTTTTAAGTCGCCCATTTGTCCGAAGTCTGAATGGAAGGAGTTCGCTCTTGAGGCAGCTGGTGATCCTGAGACCTTCCATGAGGATTCGCCTTTTGGCCACCAAAGGATCGAAGGATATCAAGGCGAGTGGACCCACGACAATAGGTCCTGGAGGAGACGTCATGGTTCCGCCCGTCACCCTTAAAGTCATACCATTTCGAATGCCACCCGATTTGCCCTACGACGATCGCAATATGATACTGGGTCGGCAGATGTCGCCACACTTGACCATTTACAAGTTGCAACTGACTTCCGGTTTGTCCATATGCCTCCGTATGAGTGGCTTTGCTTTGGGCATTTTCGTTTGGGCCCTGGGAATCGCAGGACTCTGCATGCAGGGCGATATGGATGGATTTGTCAAAAAGATCGAGAATTGCGACTGTCACGGCCTTGTGACGATGGCCAAGGTGATGGTTGTGATGCCATTTGCCTACCACTTGGTCGCCGGCACTCGGCATTTGATCTGGTACCTGAACAAATTCCTAACCATACCGGAGGTCTATGCCACCGGCTATGTGGCTATGGTCCTTTCGGTTGCTCTGGCTGTTGGCTTGCTAGTCGTGGACGTTGGTCGAAAAGGTAAAGGAAGAGGTGGTGGATCTTACCAAGCCTCAAAAGAAAGGGCAGACACCGCCGCCAAAGAAAGAAGAAAAGAAGGATCCCAAGAAGGATGCGAAGACGGAACCTCCTAAGGATGCTAAGAAGGACCCCAAGAAAGATGCAAAGGGCAAAAATAAGGAAGACGATGGCAAGAAATAATTCTAATGGTATTAAGTTTTTTTTTTATCAAAGTAAAGCTAATGCTACATAAAAAATGTTAGGAAACCTAGAAAGACGATCAACTAAGCTTAAGGCCATGACGATAGCTTGCATTGATTTTTTAAATTGGTTTCAAAATTTAAATGTATTAAATTTATCATAAATTAATATATTCACAGAAATTTCATTTTATTTTATACATACCTTATATTATACCTTATGTTGGGAAAATTATCTTTAAAGTGCAACTCTTTAATAGTTTCCATAAAAAAAGAAATAGCTATATAAATCAAGGGTAAGTCTGATGCCAAATTCTTTACTCTTTTTCAAGTTTAACAACGCCACGAAAGCATTCTGCACTCGAATTTCAATATAAAGTAGGCAACAGCAATCAAGTGCAGTATTAAGAAATTAAGCCAGGCAGAAAGTTGCTTCAGCCACGCCAACTTCAAGTCAAAGATGGTAATTAGAGTCCATGGAAAACTTGTCCAGCCCGCAAGGAAAATATGAATATATGTCTATATATGCATATGCAATCAAGCAAAGTACTACACTTGAAAAATAATATTCGCTATTTGGAAAATATTGATTAGAGTATAAATGTTCTTATTTTTGCAAGAAGGAAATTGAAATATGTTGCTGAGAAAATATTTTCAAAATTTACTACATTTTTGAAATTTTTGGTTAGTCCTTTGTTAAGAAATGATAATGTTTTAGGCTTGCTTAGCTTATTAAATTAATTTATAATAATGGGGCCATATTCAGTTTTTAATAGCTTAAACAGTTTATAATCAAGTTTTAAATGGAAATATTTTGTTTTAAAATTTTTGTGATTTCTAAAATATTGTAGTGCAGTTAGCCTTGGAGGTGGGACACGCCCATAGGCATTTTTCAACTCTACTTGACTGTGGTCGGACTGTGTGCGTGCAACAATTGTGCGGCCTGGGCAACTTGGCCAACTTTCGGGTCAAACTGCACGCAATGCAGCCACAGCCAGTTGAATGAGTTCAAGGCTTTTTTGGGGTTTTCCCCTTTAATTATGAACCACTCAACGCCAGTCAAGTGTGGTTGTTGCCATTATTTTTACTCTGGCTCCTGCTGCCCCCGTACTTTGCCCCAAGTTCAAATGGGTGAAAGTTTTAGTTGTGTTTCGGTATTTCTTTTTTTTTGTGTGCGCCCCCCTTTCAACTCGTTCTGCTTTTCTGTTTTTGTTTCATTTGAGGTGAGGGACAGAGGGATTTGCCGAATGCGCCACACGATGGGTCCGACTGGGAAATCTATGCTAGACAGGCCTCATTATGCTGCTAATGGCTTGGCTCAAACTTTTACAGGTAATTATCGACACTTTGCAGGGCATTTGTGCTGCTTGATCGTTGTTCTTGTTGCCACCGAGGTTTCCATTTGCCGCTGCAGTTGAAAAGTTAAGCACCGCATTTTGGGGGGCAGGCTCTTAACCATTTTGCGGAAGATATGGCACAACAGCTTCAACTTTTCCGACTTGGCTTTTCGGGTAATTAAGTGTGTGGCTAAAATATGCTTAAAGCGTTGATAACATGGCGTATGCTTGATATTGTGTCCACTGAGAGGTGGCCACTTGAACTCGCTCAACTGTAAAATGAGTTATGGAAAGTTTAGTTTGGCCAACAGTTTTTTTCCCAAACGGCATGATTATTGTTGGGTTGCTTAATGTGTCTAAACTTATATGACTTTAGGTCAAGTAAAAAATCGTGTTTAAATTAAGCTTAAAGAGGGGTCATTAATTTTTGTTCGGCTTGCTTAAAGATTAAGACTGATTATTGAGAGGAATCGTGAATAACTATTTTTACAAAAATTGATGATTTGCCAGAAGTTGTTTTCTTTTGAATTGTGTCACTAAATGAAAATTACATTTTCTTTTCTTTAATTGGCCTTATCACTACTCCCGGCAAAAATGTTAATTAAATCAGATTCGTGAAATTTTTCATTATATTCCGCATTACCTTTGTCAAGAGCTCAAATGAATCTTTATTTCTCCTTCGAACTGCGTTAATGAAATCTCGCCAAGCCTCTTTCCTGGTGGCTATTAAAATACCTTCGAGTATGAGTCCACTAAATTTTTATGCGTGTCGCTAAAGTGCTGAGCAAATAGCTAGGCAGCGATTTTAATTGAAAAATATTTACCCACACTAAGCTCTCCAACGTGCTTGACATTTTGACTAAGAACTCATTGACCCCACCACCGTCTATTAGGTATTTTCCTGTCAATGCACTGAGGAAAATAGGGCTATATTCTTAAGGCAAAAATATAAAAATTCAATACTATAATATTATACTGTTATATTTTTGTTGTGACCTCGGCCTGCCGTAAGAAGAGTTATATGCAAGCATTATTGAAATGAGAAAATAACAAGTGTCATTAATGCATCCATACATAGTTCTTTTAATATTTCGCAGTGTAAAACTGGGTATAATTGGTGCTCGGCTGGTTGGCTACTTTTTGCTGCTGTGTAAAGTTCAATTAATATGCGAATGGAATCCGCTTAAACAAAAGGCAAAGGAAAGAGCGAAATCGTGGGGAAAACGATGCCAATCAAGGACCACCCATTCCATTTCCCAAACCCGAGTGATTTGCGACATTTTGTCATTTTCGCTGATGCAAAGCCGACACTCGAACTCGCCGGCGGAGGATGATGCGAAGAACGTTCAAGTACACTAATTAAGATCAAACGTTTTGGGGGTCCAAATGAGATTCCATTGCCGGGGCAAAAACTACCCTCCATTCGGGGGCCATTGTTGTATGTATATTCATATTAAAATCACATAATGAAGTGTCAGCGAAAACGACGCCGTCGCCTCCTCCAATCAAAGATTAACGTCAAAAGTTGGGATGCGAGTGTTCAATCAAAACTCTGGAGTGCCAGTCAGCCTCGTCTGTCCCCGAAGTCCCCACCATTTTTGTCGCTGTTTGTAATTTATTTGGCCGCAGGCGGCCATCAAAAGGTAAGAAGTGTCCTTAAGTGGTTGCCTTGGCTCGACTCATTTTGGCTCATCTCATGGCTTAGAAATGACCTTCCCCCCTCGTTTCAGGTCGCACCGGTAATTAATGAAAAGTGGGCATTGGGACAGTAGGGGGTAACTAATTAAAGATCCTTAATAAAGTTAATGGATTCCGCAAAGACAGCGGCCAAGGGTCCAATGAGCTGTGAGCTCTTTTCTCTATTTATAGCCTCACTTATTTTTCTACTTCTTCCCTAATGTTTTCTCTGCTCGCTCGTTTTCCTTTTTTTAATATTGTTCATAATTTTGCATTTGTATTAAATGGGGTGTAGGCGCGGTGTGACGCATTTAATGCCCTCGTCAAGGGTATTTGAAGTACATTACAAAAAACTCTGGCAGATGACCTAATTATTCTTTATAATTTTAATTTGTCAAGTAGCACAACTTAAATATATAGGAACAGTATTGAACAATAATTAAGTATATTTTTGGGGAAGTCTTTTTTTTTTTTTTGTTAAAAGTAAATACACTTAACTCATTTAAAATTGTTTCCTTCGGTTTGACTTTTTAAGGTGTTTTTCAGTTTAGCCTTACTTTTAAATAAAAAACAACAAATTAATATCTAAACGTTTATTTTTATGCAATACCGAATGGTAATAGACAATCTGTGGCATGCATGAGAAAAAAAAGCAGAAGTACACATAAAAATCAAAATTCTTTGCTTAAATGTAGGGTAGAAAATTTCCCTTACCCTGCATACATGATTTCTGAAATATGAAGAATAATATTATGTTTGACTTTCCTGCTTTACCTTATATACTTTTCTTGTACTATTTTGTTTTTCAACTCAAGCGTTTATGACACATTTAGACGGGAGCCAGAAGGCAAAGAGTGAAAGAAAACATATTGGGTCGGAAAAAGTACTGAAGAACGTAAATACCTACAGTAGAAAATCAAAATAGCAACCTGTATAAAATACCACTTTCCTAAAAGCTAAGGAGAAAAGACCTAGGTTCGGAATGCTTCAAAATGTACGCATTTATTTTTATTAACTTAATTCAAAGAAAATTTTAATTGAGTTAAACACATTATTTTACAATGTACCACAAATCTAAGGCAATTGGTTTTTTAAACTTTAAGATACTCATATAAATCGTATAAAATATTATATATATATAAAAAAATAAAATATAATATATAGTTTATGTTAATCATTTCCTTTTTACGAAAAGTTACTTTACATAAATGTTCTGTATGACTTCTGGGCAAATAGGGGTTGAGCTGCAAAATTTAAACGTACATAAATATATGAAAAGTTAATTTGAAAAAATCTCTTTTGACAGCGAATAGCAAAAGCAACAGCCAAGGATGCGAGGTGTTGTTACAGCTCCTCGTTTCTATTTGCTGCCCCTGCTGCTTTTGCTCCCGAGTCGCAAGTCAGTCACTTGCAGGATGATGTCGTCCTGCAGCCACACACCAATACACACCAACAAACACACACACACACACTCATACTCGTGCAATGTAAACGATGAAAAATGGGCGAAAGGAGAAATATACGCGATATTCTCTCGCTCTTGGGGGAAAAGGAAAAGGGAGCTGGTCCTGCTGTTCCTGTTCCTCTTCCTGCTGTTTATATAGCCTGGTCTACGTGTATAAATAACGGTAACATTTTAAATCAGTCGAGTGACTGCAGGAAAACGCCAAAACGAAAAGCTCAAACTGGTGCCAACATCTGACAAGCGGCCCTAGAAGCCAGCCACAACCCAATCTTGGCATCCCCAGGAACCAGGAACCATTTCCTATTCAGCTCTCTCGCTGACATTGATGTGCATGTTTTGGCGTGTGTGTGTGTTTGTGTACTATATGTGCGTGTAACCGCAAAAATTTCATCCTTCAAACATTTCCGAGTATGTGTGAGGTGGACTTGCCCTATTCCCCTTTAACGTTCACAACCATGTCCATTTTGTGTCTCCTCTCTCGCATCCTTCAGCTCTGACACTCTTTTCACTTTTTTTCTTACGCTGTTTCATATTTTCTGCAAAATTTATGTAATTTTAACCCATTTTTTCGCACCCTGCCATGCTGCTGCTGCTGCTGTTATTAAATCTTGTCGCAGATGTAATTGGTTTTTTAAATTTTAATTAAAAGCCAGAATAAGCGATAAGTTTGGACCGAGTGGGTGGACGGTTTTTGTTTTTATACACATGTGTGAT